TACTCAAAAATAATATTATAAACTTTGTATTCTGTGTAGTATTAGAAATCGATATATTTGAAAATGCAGAAAAACATCCATAAATATTTAATACATTTCAAGTAGTATTCTATTGTTTAACAGTGTGATGAATAGTGATTAATTTTTTTGCGTTCATTGCATGAGTAAACCGTGATTAATGGACAGCCCTAATACTAACATAACCACCCGGCACATCCATCTTCCAGAAGAAGGATCCGAGTCTGCTGGCCCAGTCCATGTTATGAACAGACCACTAGGGGGCTCCAGAGCAGCAGCAAAAGCAGGATTTTCAGGAAGGTGGATACATTTCTTGAAGCAGCCACAATAGGGAACTGAAGGGCAGTAGTCAAAAGTACCCTTCCTTAGGCTGAAATTCACCTCGGTGGAGAGGGCCCAGTGACAGACTCAATCTCTCACTTGGAGCTGATCTAAATGACTACGCAAGGCTGAGAGTAATGGAAAATGGGGCCTGTGGAGCTTCCACCAAATTGTCTCACCAGGGAAGGGAGAGGGTGGAACAGGCAGGAGAATTCAAGAGAACTCCTACTGAAGCACCGGCTTGTCGCCGCTAGAGATCTACATCCAAATTCTGACTAGCAGTAACAGTTTCAAAAGCACCTGTGTGATTTAGGAGCCTAAATCCCATTGGTTTTCAATGAGATTTAGGCTCCTAGGGCCCAGATCCTCAAAGGTATTTGTGGCGCCAACTCCCACTGAAGTCAATGGGACATCGCTGCCTAATACCCTCTAAGAGCCTATGCAGCTATTGAACATAGGACTTAGGCTCATCTTACCGTACATCATAAGTGAAATAAGCGTGAAGTTCTCATTCAAATCAATGTTGCTCCATTCTCTCAAACCCACCATGCAGCACGACGCTGTCTCTATTTAAGAAAAGCCCAGGCTCTGGATGGAGCTCCTTGGAGGTCAACAGTAGAAACGAATGGGGGGGGGGACACCAGCACACCATCTGCTTGGACGAGCCCTGGTCTAAGCCAGCGCTATCAACCTCAGCTCTAAAGTCAAGCAGAAATGTGACAGGGAAGAACAGACTCATGTAGCTGGGTTACTTTGGTGACCACTGAGGACAAACATTCCCTTCTTTCACTTCCTCTTCTGCTTCTCAAGTCTTAAAATGACAGGTTTCAGAGTAACAGCTGTGTTAGTCTGTATTCACAAAAAGAAAAGGAGTACTTGTGGCACCTTAGAGACTAACCAATTTATTTGAGCATAAGCTTTCGTGAGCTACATCCGATGAAGTGAGCTGTAGCTCACGAAAGCTTATGCTCAGATAAATTAGTTAGTCTCTAAGATGCCACAAGTCCTCCTTTTCTTTTTGCAAGTCTTAAAAGTGGTGCCACGGAGGCATTGTTTTATTAAAAGCTGCACACACAAAAAGAGGAAGGGAAGCTGAGTTTTGCCTGAACTTCTGGGTGTTCTGCTGCAAAGAGTGAAATTGCTGTCTCCATTCTGCCAATGTTAAACTCAGCAGGGCTCGCCTCTCCTCTGAGCCAGGAATACGTGACCAGCAGGGGGTGTTGAACCTTGTTTATATCTTGCGCCACCACCTACTGTTCTCCACGCAGCAGCTAGGAAAGCACTGTGTGAGTCCTGTTCTGCCATGTGTGCAGGAGGCTCTGTGTCACAGATCTTTTCTCCATCACATTCTTGAGCCATGTGATTGGGAGAGAGCACAGTCCAGTGGCTAGGGAACTAGCTGGGGAATCACAAGACTTGGGTTCTCGTTCTAGGTCTACTACTGACATGCTGTCACCTTGGGCAAGTCACTTCCCCTCTCTGTGCCTCAGTTTCCACATTCGTAAAATGGAGATAATGACACTGACTGTGCTTTGAGATCTCTGAATGACAAAGCACCATATAAAAGCTAATTTACTGTAAACATTCCCAATTTCCTTTACAGTCCAATATTATAGCACTTGTTTCCTTTTTGGATATGTGATTATACAGACCGGAAGTACTGACAATTACTCAGAACAATGTATCACTACAAATCTCTAATCTTCTCTGTTTAGTAGGTGGGCAGCTAACAGGTGCAGCTTGTGGGATCACAGTGTATCCTGAGAGAGAAATGACTAGATCACAGCCTTCCAGTATGTGGATGACTGGCTCATTTGCAGATCAGAGGTGGAAATACTAGAAAGCGGCAACACAACAAAGGTTTTCTTTGGCACTATTAGTAGGACGGCCCACTATTCGTATTTAGGGAGTCAGTGCCCTAAAAATATTTTTTGAGACATCTGTAATTCAGCCACTTTAATTGGCAACTGGGTACAACTTGGCACGCAAGCAGTATTGTCTCTTGTCATTTAGATGAGAGCATTTCAGTGACTTGTGTTTTGTTTCTTTAAACACACGTGAACTAGAAGCAATTCACAGACTTTTTAAATGAAAATAAGGAAGGTAAATTTGATTCTGGGCCTCATAACCCCCTGTGAGTCCCTTTAAACCTGCATCCTCATTGTTCCCCTCAAAAAGATGAACTTTCATCCGCCAATGAAACAGGAAAAAAAATCCCCTGTAATAAATTAAATTTCCTCCTGGAATTCCTCTAGCAATCCTGTTAGTGGATCACAAGGATACCCAAATCACCTGTTATCCAAGTATTCTGATTCTTGCAATGAGGACAGCTCTTCCCACATATTGTGTATACCTCAGAGGCTACCTCCCCTGACTGCCTGGTGTCTGATATTTCCCCCCTTCCCTCAAAAGCTTTAGGAAACCAATATGGGGACAACTGATGTTACTTTCCAATGCAGGTAACCATTTGTAAACATTCTATCTTGTGTGCACAGAAATCCCCTTGATGTCAATGGACTAAGGGTAGAATATCATGCCCTAAAGAGTAGTGTGGTGGAAAGTCTGGAGGTAAGAGATGGTTTGAACAGCATAATGGTTTCTTAGGTATGAGATACAGTATCTGACTTGATTTACTCTGGATAGAGTAATTGAGAACATCTGTGCAACAATCTACAGGGGAATGATGTTATTTTGATCCCTCTGTGTATTCAGAATGGGATGTATTTACATAGACAAATGCATTCCTTTTGCTTAACTTCTTACTCCCTTTAGCCTGCAGAGCCAAAACAGCTAGAAGAGTGACTTGGAATTCATTATCAGAGGGGTAGCCGTGATAGTCTGTATCCACAAAAACAAAGAGGAGTCTGGTGGCACCTTAAAGACGAACAGATTTATTTGGGTATAAGCTTTTGTGGGTAAAAAACCCACTTCAGATGACTCCATGCATCTGAAGGAGTCGGTTTTTTACCCACGAAAGCTTATGCCCAAATAAATCTGTTCGTCTTTAAGGTGCCACCAGACTTCCTTGCTTACTCAGTACCAATCAGTAAATTCACTGACAGCACTGAGACTGCAGAGGTGCTAAGTGGCTTAACTGGATATGCTTATTTTCTCTTCTACAAGTAGCAATTAAACTCAGGCTATCTACTTCAGCAAATCCATACAGAATACTACTATGGTATGGGGAGAGGGATAGCTCAGTGGTTTGAGCATTGGCCTGCTAAACCCAGGGTTATGAGTTCAATCCTTGAGGGGGCCATTTAGGGATCTAGGGCAAAAATTGGGGATTGGCCCTGCTTCAAGCAGGGGGTTGGACTAGATGACCTCCTGAGGTCCCTTCCAACCTTAACTTTCTATGTGAAGTGCACTCAACTAGATCTTTAGTTTAAGAGCATCATGAGGCAGGAATAGATGTGATCTGTGACAACCTATATACAACTGCTAGCATATGGAATTAGAAGAAATAAGGTTTGTTAAATGAACCAGTGCCTGTTTCACAACCCTAGCTCCTTTTTGCTACTTCTAGGGCTCTCTTTAGGCTGTTTCCTGCACAAATTTTCTTGCAGATAAAGTATACATTATGAAATTTCCATAGAGGTTCCTATACCGCCCCCATCACTGCTGTATCTGAGTGCCGTCCAGCCATGCATTAAGTGACATGATGGACATCTGCCATATATGGTTTGTTCTTTCTCTCATCCCATCCCCAAGGGGAGGTTTGTGTGTGCAGTGTTTTGAGGTTTTGTATATGAACTTCCTGCTCTGTGTTTATACCGGAGAAGGAAAGGTCAAAGTGCATCTTGCTCTTGGAGCAGAAGTTTGTGATTGTCCTCCAAAAAAAATGAATGATCTTTACTTTCTAGAGCCTTACTCTAAGTTATCTGTACAGGCTGGCAGTGTTTTGACTTGTAACAGCCTACACTGTTAAGTATTGATTTGGCTGAGAAAGGGTTAAGTGGGTTCTCATGACTCATTGCCCCAACTAGATATAATGGAGGTAGGAGTGGCTCCACTCTCTAGGGCGTGGCTACGGAGCCTGGGGAAAAGTTTTGAGATGCTCTTTATCTTGTTGTTGGCTTTACTTTATTAATAAAGCCAAATTCCCCTGAAAAACGGGGGAGTTTGGCTTTCACACTGTGATTGCAGAGGAGTTTGGCAAAGGTCTCTGGTCATGCTGTCACTTCTACAGAATCTATATATAAACACTTATGTCAATGATACTAAAAATGCTCCACACTCTTTTTTTCAAAACTAAAGGGGTGGAGATTCTGCCATAATGACTCTCCCATCAATACTGCAGGCTAAGCTCTATAACGTAGGAAAGTCAGGAAATATGGGATATAACCCCAAGCTCTGCCACTGGTTAGTTATGTACCTTTGGGCAAGTTAGTTTAGTCCTCTCTTTCAACCCCTATAGAAAGGGAAGAAAAATTCTTACTCCGCTTTGTAAACTACTTTGAGATCTATGGATTAAAAACTGCTATGTACAGGACTGGGTCCTACAATGGGATTCACCCACACAGATCCTCATGCTTGTATGGAATCCCACTGCGGTCAGATGAACTTCATGTGGCTAGATACGTTAGCAGCATCAGCTCCAGAGTACAAATAATTGTTAGTCGCTTGAAGAAAAGTCAATATCTGATTATACTATTATATATTGATAATAGTATAATCATAGTATATCATAGCGATTTGAACAATAGAAATGAAATGATACCAGTACTGGGTTACTGGTTTCACCTTGGAACAGACTGACAGTAATGAAGTAAAATTTTGTTTATTATGAAATGTCAACAATTACGACTGGACATTAAGAAAATACATCTGTTAAACAACTTTTGAACTGAATTACAGAATTTGACTACTGACTCTAATCCTCTACAGACTATGGTTATCGCACAGAGGAAAAGAGCTGCTATAAAACTTTTCAATGCTATTAACTGCATTTGGGGAGTTGGTAACTTACTAAAACACATTCAGAACGTCTCAAATGTAAGAATTTCTTCCTCATTTAGAAAAATAAGAATTGATCTAAACACTTATGTATAAAACATTCTGATTAGCTATGGATTAGTAGCTGGCAACTATGGGTGATCTTTCATCATTCTTCTTTATTCCCAAAGCCAGCTCCACCTGTTTCTCTCTTTACAATAAAAAGATACAGATAAATTACACATTAGACCACAAGCTTGGTTTACAACCAGATCAATTTCTCCCCTCCCCACCTCCACTGAACGTACCTGTAATTCTCAGCCAGGGTACTCAAACACAGGTCCTTTCAACATTAACATTACTGAGCTAATTCAATAGAACATCAACAGTGTTTTAAATCCAGGATTTAGATTTAATTCAGTAAATAGAATGCAAGAATGAATTCTATCCGTGGTCTTTTTCTTGTCCTCCATGTTGAAAATGAAGGTGGTAGTCAATTTAACAACAAAACTTCGTAAGTACTTCGGGCAATCTGCTGAGAAGAGGGGTTCCCTCGCTACCTATTCTAACTGCTGTCATTTTAAACAACTCCAAAACTGATTTAAATCATACTTATACCAAAATAGGCACAGCAGAAATCAAACTGGTAACTCTTATTTCATGGACCTTTTTTCAGATCCTTTAACTTGCTGGACAATGACTTTCATCATTTTCTCCATTTTGGTTTTTGTCAGTGATTTTCTACAGTACCATATTTGGTCCCATATGCAGCACAAAGGTTTAGGAGATAAGTAAAATGGATCACGGTCATGATGCATATCCAATGGCCTTCTCTTAGCATACTCCTTATAGTCCCTGACTGGACAGTTGCCTGGATTATCAGGTTTGGCATAAATACATAGAACTGACTCTTCTGTGCTTGCCTGTGTGTTCAGATCATCTTTCCACTCCAAGTACTCTAATCCCTCCTCATTCTCTTTTAACACAATCTGCCCCCACCACAGATTTGGAGTCTGACTGTGTGTGTTTGTCCCAAAGCCTCGGATGATGTTTACAAGCATTAGGTGCAGAAATCCTTCGGGATGCATTCGACTCAGTATGCCCTTTTTACGAAGATCCTCTACATCTTTATCTGTCAGGTTTTCCAAAATATTCCAATCTCTCTCCCTCTCCTTCAGTGCTAGATGCTGGCATTTTACTTTTAAAGCTTCCTGAGATGCTGTGAACTCAGACCCTTTAATCACACTATACTCATACTTGTGTTCCTTGAGGTATCTGTCTATACTGCTCTGAAAGAAGAATAAAGAGTTGGCGGAAAACTCTGTGCCATTCTGCTTCCTCACTCTAGTATAGAAGGAGGCTAGGTAATTATCAAGGTCTGCAGGTGGCAGTGTGAAGATCTCACGCGTTTCAGAAGGATAATGTGAAGCCAACCAGTCTCTGAACATTTTTATATCACCAATATTACGAATTCTCTTACTCTCCGACTTCTTCAATGTCTCTAAAAGATAAGAGACAACTCTGTGGATAGAAAGAACTACAGAGGCTATCAAAGGCATGTAAGGTGATGCAGAACCATGTTCACCTTCCTTTTTAAAGCATTCAAACATTCTGGGACTACTATAATCCTGCTCCCTTTGTTTTTTGTTTTGCTTTTGTGATCGCATTCTCCCACCCATCCCACTGTTTTTCCACCTGTTGCATCCTGTCTGACGCCTCCGCTATAAGTTCTCTGGTGCAGGGAACTGTCATCTTTGTTATTTTTCTGTGCAGTGCCTAGCACAGTGGGGTCCTGATCTTAACTGGCATTCCTAGGTGATAACATATCAAATATTTAAAAGCTCATAATTCAAGGGGAGCAGGCTTAGGCGTTAATGAAATTTTATACCACTCACTGAAATTATGAAATTCATCCCTATACAGAGAGACATCTTAAGTTATATGCCACACTTAAGACCTCAAAATAGGGCTTAAGGTGGGACTTTAACTTGTGTGTTGGGAAGGGGGTGAATTTCACCCTGTATGATCTAAAAATTTAGATCTAAGGCCACAATCTGCAGCTCTTCCTTATGGAACTAGTCACGTCACTAAGGATTGCATGATTGGACCTGAAATGTGGACTCTGAAACTTGAGCAATCCAAAAAGGGATAGTGCATATAAAAATTCCTCAGATTGCAACTATGGTCATGCGTATATTTTATAGTTAAATAAGGCACAGTAGTGAGTCAAATTTTGTTCTGTTATGCTCAGGCAGTCCCCGGGAAATCAACAGGAGCTGGCCTGTGTGCAGATCTCAGGATGTGGCCCAGTATTAAGCTGCATTTATTTTACATGTTTGATGTGCTGCACAAGCCATTAAACAGAATATACTTCAAAGTGGTCTCCAGCACTGACGCTTCTTTATTAAAAAGGAGCACTCTAGTCATGGAACACAACTGTCAGCTGAAAGTTTGTTCTAGGGGCTGAGAATCAGGAAAAGCCCACTCTGTTTAAAATGGAACAAGTAAAAATATCTCTTAAAAAGGAGTGCCAGGATTCCAGCGGGCTTTATTTCTCAGATTGTTATAGAGTTGTCACATCTATATAGTTCCATGTAGCCTAGGAAGAGAATCACTTATGGTGAAATTCACCCCTATGCAGAGGGCCATCCCAAGGTCTATACATTGCCTAACCCAGGGGTTCTCGAACAGGGGGTTGTGAGGTTATTACAAGGGGGGGTTACGAGCTGTCACCCTCAACCCCAAACCCTGACTTTGCCTCCAGCATTTATAATGGTGTTATAAATTAATAACACTTTTTTATATATTTAAGGGGGGGTCACACTCAGTCTTGCTATGTGAAAGGGGTCACCAGTACAAAAGTTTGAGAACCACTGGCCTAACCCCTCAAGGTGGGATGTAAATGGCTTGAAGAGTAGGGAGAGAGAATGCCTGCCATCAGTTACACAGGCATACATCCTAGGGGGCTTATTGGAATTCCGCTGCTGCTGGATCCTTAGGTAGCACTTGGCAAGGAGGTCTTTTCTTTAGGTGTGGACCTCATCACAGTCATCCTCACCTTTGCTACCTTCAAGCTGGATTACTGTAATGTGCTCTGAGGATGACCCCTTGTTTAAGACCATTTGGGAACAGCAGCTAGTGCAGAATGTAGCTGCCCACCTACTGAGTGGGATTTCTCATAAGTAGCACACTACACCTCAGCCCCATTGAGTACACTGGCCACAGTGGTTTCCAGGTGAAGTTTAAGGTGGGTTTTCAAACCTGGGCAGCCCTTAAATGATTTGTGCTCCCACCCACCTTTCTCTCTCCTCCTATGACTTCACTTCCCACAGGCCATGTTTGATTGCCTTCAGGGTATGCTGCAAAGGTCCATGTGCTCTCCTGTGGGTTTTTTCCAGGTGTGAAGATGTGGGTGGTGAGTGGGGTTCTGGAGCTGATGGCTGTGAATGTCTCTTGTTGGCACTGAGTCATTTGGTACATGATTTTTGGTTTAATTACTATTGTTTCTGCACAGAGAGTATGGATCTACAAACCTAAATGTGGCTGCTCCTTTTTTATGAAAACGATTGCGTGGTCTACTTGAAAAAAGAAATGGTTTGTAAATCAAAAAAACACTGAGACTGCAAGCGAAGGCTGAGATTAAGATAAAATGGCTTATGACTCATTGTTCAGCAAAAACAATTCTTGCATAAATGTCCCCAGGTGAATTCACAGTGGCTCTTGATGAGATACACTATCAAGTCAATTTCAAAAATACTCAAACAATGTATTCACCAAGTGTAGTCATGCTGCAGATTTTTAGTTGTGTAAAGGCTTGTCTGAACAAACACCCTACCTTAATCCAAATTCACGCTCAGGAGTAGACAAGCCTTAAAGCACTATTCCAGTACTCTGTTCAGTCAAGGAAGAATTGTATCCAATCTTCTGCATCACAGAATCTAACAGCAGGTTTTTTCTGTCTTTGATGTACTAGCTAATTTAGCAGTATGGACATCTACCCTCTACTGGATGAACTGAGAATCATTCAGTCATGTCATAAGCCCTAACAATGGCAGAGATAAAGACTATATTTCTTTTAGCTCAGGTGGCTGGGGATCTGTAACTCAAGAACTATCCATGTTCTATCGTGGCTTGCTGTCACTGTTATATCTCAACAGTCACAATGTGCAGTTTACTGCCAACCATGAAGTCCTAAGGGGCTCTGGCTCTGCCACAAAATCTAGATATACATTTAGTAAGCATCACCCTGAATTTTCACATGTCTCTGGAGAGCCATCAGTCAGATAAAAGGAGTCATCGCACCAAACAATTGTGGAAAATTAATTAAACCTACAATCCCAAATTTTGGGACTGTTTGCCTGAACTTTCAAAAGATGGCTCTATATTTGCACCTGCATTTTTGCATGCATAAAAATCTTTTGCATACAGATCAGGTAGACATCCAGCTGCCTGATATTTATATGAAGCACCGCTTGCAAGCAAAGGAAAATCAGATGCAAATGTATTTGCTCTACTGAATCCTCTTTAAAAACTTGGCCCTTTGCTGCTTACTTGATGGTTTTAATCACTAAATTAAATCAGTATGTAGGTAACTGGCACTAAAAATTCATTAGCCACACCTATGCTAAAATCATAATTGTGCTCCAGATCACTTCTAAAATGAAGCAGATCCAGTCACTAATGGTTCCCAATATTTGGCAAGAAGGATAGTTTAACAGTTAGTACATACAAGAAGAAAATGGATGATGTACAGTGCACAAGGCAGGAACTGTTTTAAAAGCTACTATAATCACATGCCACATTTTAGTTATTCATCAAAGAGCATATTCTAATGAGGAATCTTATGACATTCTCATGTAAAAATGTGCTCTATGCTGACACATGGCATGAATGGCAAGAAGTGAATTTATTTTACAAATAAAAAAGTCTGTCTATTTTTAGTTACCAAAAAATTTTAAGATCCCAAATCATAACAGGATACACAAGACATAAACTTTTTTAACAAATTGCTTTAATATCTTTAGTGCTTTTAAGAAAAGGGGTGAAATTCTGGGATCATTGAAGTCAATGGGAATTTTGCTACTTACTTCAATGGAACCAGAATTTCCCTGCAGTTACTGCACTAAATTGTTTTAAAGATCAGTTCCTCTTTCTCTTTCCTGGGGAGACCTGAGTTCATAACCCTGGTTACAGTTTATTGCAGGGACCACATATTAAGAGGTACAGTGTGTGGTGCTATTGTGGTAAAATCAGTCTAAAATGTTCCAATTTAGGTAGTTGGCTTTAGCCACGCAAATGTATATTATAGGGCACCTAAATAAGTGGCTTGATCTTCGGAAGCGCTGATTGCTTAAGGCTCCTATTATGTCAGTGGGAGATTAGGGTGTTCAGGATCTCTGGCAATCTGGTGCTTTTATTTAGGTGCTCAGATATGGATTTAGGTGGCTAAATGGAGCCACCCAAATTGTAATATTCTGGCTAAAAGAGACACATACTAAAAAAAAAAACCACCCAGGAATAAAACTCCAGAAATCCTTACTTTTGTTTGAAGACACAGGCAGATTGTCCTCAGAGTTTTCATTCTCCAGAGTAGGCAGAGCTAAAGAAATTGCAGCATTCGGTGGTCCTGGCTGTTTGCTCTCCTCAGTAGGTACTTCAGCACGGTTCCCAGCTAGTCCCATTTCTGATGTGGCACACACAGATGGGCACAGCTGGAGCTGCTGATGGACAGCTCCAGGGAATGCAGTGTCATAGAAAGCCAGGAATGAGGGTGGCTCTAACTGGGCCTTTGTTTCCCTGTTGGAAGCAGGAAAGGGCTTTAACTGTTCTTTGGATGCTGTTGATTCACAGGAATTCCCTGCTTTAGAGGTTTTGCTTTTGGACTTTGTAGGATGAAGAGCTGCTAACTTCAAGCAGTTGCTTTCCAGGCTCCTATGATGGCTGTCTTCTAAAGTCTCCTGTAAACAGGGAATTACTGCAGCCTTTTCTTTAAAGACAGAAACTGATGTCTGGTTGGCTGCTCGTTTGCTAATGACCTTACTATCTCTGTGCATTTGCAGTTCTTCCTCAGCAGATCCTTCTTTATTCTGGAATACTCTTTCAGAATCACAATTACTTCTGCATATTTGGTCTCCTGTATCTGTTTCAAATTCTTCTTCATCAGAGATGTCTTGCAGGTCCTCCCTGCTTTCTGGCTCTGCATTACCATGGTCAGTTTTGGCATGATAGTCAGTTGATGGAAGACTCAGCTCTGCAGCAAAGCATGACCTCATGGAGTAGCTGTCTTTCTGAGGAACTACTCCACTCTGCTTTTCTTTTGTCATTGTTATATCAGACATTACACAAAATGTGTCCTCTTTCTTTTGCATTATTTCGGGGGATCTGCTACATGATCCCATGTTAACTGAGTCAGCTTTCTTTTTTTCAAAAGGTGAGGCTACCCTGTATCTCTTTTCACTTAAATTATGTTCCACTGACCAGGAGTCATAGCTTCTGGACCTCTTTTTCTGTTCTGCAGCTTCCTCCCTTTCCTCCTGGCTTCTGAAGTATAATGCCCCACAGGGCCAGTGATATGCATGTCCAGATTCACATATCCATAAAACAGAATTGTCCCTGGTGGGATGTCCCATATTCTGTATAATTTCCAAGCTTGGGATTTGACTGCATATAGTTCCATGAGTATGTGCCCAAGTCACTAAATTAGATAGATCCATGGCAACTGAGCTGACATTGTTGTACATGTCATCACAAATGTTCTCGTTCTGCAAAAGGGTTAGAATTATCTTAAGACACGTAAGAAAAACAGGATGATTTTAGCAACAGTTAGCGGGAGCTGTTCTCAATCCCATCTATTTAAATTTTTAAATATTAGAATAATTAGCTTGATAAAACTTGTGAAACTTTTCAAATGATTTGTTTGAACAGTTTCTTTGCTCAGCTATAAGAGATGGGAGGGAATTTGTGGATGTATTTATTAACCTATTTGATGAATTTCACAATAGACACAACATACAGCTTGCACGTGTATCCTATGATCTGACCCTCAGCTGTAAGCTTGCTATCTTATGAATGGAAGACTCTGTTTCTGAACATGCATGTATTGGGTGAAACCATTCAGGATAGCATTCAGCCAATTTGCCATTCTGAAAATAATTATACCCATTCAAAACTAAAAAATAACTTAATTTATAAATCATCCCCCATGCACCAAGGTGTTCAGTGGCCCTGTACCATAACTTCATAATTGTTTTATATAATATGTATCTAATAAACAAAAATCCTTTGCCCGTTTTCTTACATAAAAATTCCCTGCTGTTTATCCTTGTGAGTGGTTTTGAGTTCATTTTGCATTCACATAAATATATATTTAAGCAAACACAGTTGAATGCCCAGTTATCTATGATGTAATTTAAAGTGTACTCACCATGCTGCTGTTTTTATTTGGAATATGCTTTCAATGGGGGCTCAAGGGATAAATGTCTCCTTTTATTTAAGTAGTCCTTTCTTTCACAGAACCTAAAATAAGTATCATATAGATTTTTACTTTTTTATTTTTGGAGGCAAGTTCCATTCCACTAAACTTTTCAATATTCACTGAGCACAAACTAAATGGTCCCAGGCTGCAAATACTTCACTTATGTGAGCAGTACCATTGAGCTTAATGGGACTACACACAGGAGGAGTTTTTCATGCCAGTTTAAAGGGAAACAAAATATTAATTATGAAAACAGAATTTTTAAAATGTAAATGTTCCTCTGTACTACTGGAAACCTGAACATAATAGCACTGTGATGGGTCTTGTTTAATTCTTCAAGCTGAGGAAAAAGCAGAAAAAGAAATATAAACAGTGAAAAGCAAATTATTAAAAGTTAAATAATTAACATTTAAAGTTGCTAGCTACACAAGTGAGCAATTTTCTGTGTAATTCCTATTTATCTCAATAGACTTAGGTGCAAATTTTAAAAGATTCTTCTGTCTATACATAGGCTCTTTTGAAAATCCTAGCCTTAATTAATTAACACCTGTGTGGTGGGATGGAGAAGAGAATCAGTCAAAGTTACTGTTAGTATGTATGTGGTTGTAGAGTCAAGAGCAGTGGTTCTCAAACTCTGGGTCAGGACCCCAAAGTGGGTCGCGACCCTGTTATAAAGGGGTCGCCGGGGCAGGTGTTAGACTTGCCTGGGCCTGGGGCTAAAGCCAAAGTCCTGGCCTCACTGCTCAGAGCCAAAGCTGAAACCCGAGCCCTACCACTGAGGGCGGAAGCCCAAGGGTTTCAGCCCTGGGCAACGGGGCTCAGGCTATAGGCCCCCCACTTGGGGCTGAAGTCGTTGGGCTTCGGCCCCTCCCTCCCGCCCAGGGTTGTAAAGCTCGGGCGGGCTCCTGGAGTCATGTAGTAATTTTTGTTGTCAGAAGGGGGTTGTGGTGCAATGAAGTTTGAGAACCCCTGGTCAAGAGGGTTTATTCAGGAAGAGCCTGTCTTCATGTACTCTGTCTTGCCTACAATGGCTCTCCCAGACCTGACGAAGAGCTCTATGTAAACTTGTCTCTCTCACCAACAGAAGTTGGTTCAATAAACAGTATTACCTTACCCACCTTGTCTCTACAATGGCTTCAGACAGCCACCCATCTACCAACGCTTGCGGGGGAAACGAGCCATTTGCTTTGATGTTCTACCTCTGGCCCCTTGCTGAACTCACTGGCCTGATTTTGGGCAGCAGGGCAAACAGAGCTGGAAAACCGACACCAAGGAGTGTTGGCTGGATAAAGGTTTTGGGGGCTGTTCAGGGGAACACACCGGCACAGACACACACCCGCTGGGGGGCTGAAGAGGGTAAGCTGTCCTACGTTCACCTTGGAGGATGGAGATGGTAAGTCAGGTGTGTGTATAGACTATTTTACAAAGCCTCTTTCTCTGATGCTTGGTTCCTCCTGTGAAGATTAAACAATACACTTTGGGGTAAGAATGCGGCGGGGTCACTATATTCCCCAGTGCTCACAGACTCCTGAAGGGGTACCGAACCCAGTCGGACTTGCTGGGTAAGCATGGTTGAGGTGCAGAGTACAGTAGCCCAGGGCCTGCTCTGAGAGTGGCAGAATTGCATGATTCCACCGCGCGCAAGCGAAAGGCGTGAGGCCTGACAGCTGTGGGTGTGCCCTCAGAGAGGGTTCAGAGGTGCAGCTAGCCCTGTAGTTGTGACATCCTGTACCCACAAAAAGCAGGTAGTGGGAGGGCGCTGGGAGAGCCTGGGGAGGGGTTGGCAGAGACAGACAGAGGAGCTGGGGACAGAGGGACAACTGGAGGGAGTCTGGGGCATCTGGGGGAGGCGAGAGGGTTACTGGGAGAGTGACCCTGGATGCGGGGGCAGATCCTGCTCCCCCTTGTCACCCTGTTCCCTCCCCGCTGCCTGGCCCTGGCCTCCTCCCCTCTGCCCCTCACCTCCCTCACAGGGGCACACGCTGCCCTGCCAGCCTCCTGCACCTCCACGCTGGCTTGGCTGGCCCCAGCCCGGGGAAGCGGGGGCGAGCAGGCCAGCTCAGATGCTTGCGATTCCTCTGTCACAGCATCCCCTGGCAGGCGGGAGGAGGAACTGCGGGGGAGCGCGCCGAGCCTGGCACCAAGCTCTGGGGAGGAGCCATTGGAGCCGCCACATGGGATGGATGTCATGCTGTCGGCCTGAGATTTGGCGCAGCGTGGGAACCGGTCCAGCACGAGGGACAGCAGTGCAGGCTTCCCCACAATACCCTGCAAATGTGCCTCAAACATGACCTGAAGGGAGCCCATGGAAGATGAGGGGGTAGCTCCATCTTATTCAGTCGTTGGCCTGTCCCTTGGGACTGCCCAGCGAGGGGCTTTAGTGCTGGCGAGGATGAGCGTTCTGTGATATATGGGCATCTGCCCGCTGGGAACTGGACTGAGATCTACCAAACTTCTAACCAATTTTTTTTTTTTTAAATTGCTGCCCAAATCCTATGGGGCCAAGCACCTCAAAAAGTGAGTAATAGAGACACACTTTACCAATGTACAACTTCCAAATAACTCGGTTTTGATGCTCTCGCAGTCTAAGGCTCTGAACTAGCAAGGCACTGAAGTGCACATTAAAGTTAAGCATGTGCTTAAGTCCCAGTGACTCAAAAATTAAGCATGTGCTTTGCTGAATTCAGGGCCTAAATGAGGGACAGATCAAAAACAGTGAGAGAAATTTTAAATATACTGTGCCGAAAGCCCATCGTCATAAGGGGGAAGGCGGCTTTAAAAATGGCCTAAAACAATTAATCAAAAATAATGAGGGAGATCTTGTTCCAGATGATGGGGACTAGGGTTAATAACCAAATGACAAATACCTGAGAGGAACATTGAATGAATCTGCAGCAGCTCAGCAAGGTAAGGACAGCTCTCACAGGAAGGGAAACAAAAGTGCCACGGGTGCCTGTCTGCAGCTCCCCAGCACTCGGTCACATAACAGGGTGTCCCATTTAAAGAGACAGTGCCAGATCAAATTCTCTCTTGCCAAATTTATTTTACCGCCTAACAGGGAATTGGTAATAATCAGGAGAACTCTTCCTGCTTAGGCGGGAAAAGTCCATTATGTTAGCAATGCTATATCATTGCCCCACTGGGTCCCCTTGTAAAGCTCTTTTGCACAAATGTATCTCACTAGTGTGTCTCTCCAGCTTTTCCTGTTTATGGCTTTCCAATGATGATCGGGATAGCTTTAGCCTGGAATAATGTTTCTAACTATGCTGGGCATTTGAACCACATGTAAGGCTAAGATTTTCAAAGGCGCTTGAGGGAGTTTAGGTGCCCATTCCCACGAAAATTCATTGGCTCCTTTGAAAAGTACTGCCTAAAACATTTTAGCTGAAACCATGTTTCAACTGAGTCTTATACCACTTCAGCCAATGTACTTTGAACCCAGGGCTTGTCTTAATTTATGGCAGGCATTACACTGAGCCAACCATGATTCTTGTCCCATTCTTGCCTATGGGTCTGTTCCTGTTCCCATGGATGTCAGTGGGAGTTATGACACTGACTTTAGTGAGTAGTTTCCCCCCTAAAGGGCTGCACTATCTGGACAGAGCAAAAGGAACTTCCACGTCAATACTTTGGCATTTACAATTGCTGTGGAGCAAGGGTAATAGAAACAGAAGCTTTGCCTGGTCATAAAGCATGGAATTATAACTTGGCAGCTGAACTTCTTGATTGCCATCATGTCCTTCTCGAAATTGGCCCTTTTGATCTCCCTCTGTCTGTAAGCATGTCTTCCCTTTCCTGATCTCTCCTAAAAAGTCCTTTTATTTTGATACTTCGCTCCTAATGAAACTCCAGTGACCAGCTATAGTATCTTCATTGTCCAGTTCTGCTCTGATGTTGGTGTCAATCTGGAGTAACTCCATAGAAATCAATGGGGTTGCTCTGGATTTACACCAGTGTAACTGAGAAGAGAGCTCTGCCTTTACAGTGAAATATTTACTAAATGAGTCAGATCCTCACCTGTTATTAATCAGCATAGCTTCATCAAAGCCAATAGAGTCACCCCAGTGCACCTCAGATCTGGCCCAATGCCTTTTTTTTTTTTTTTAATCTTTATAAATAGCAGTTGCTGCTTCAGTATCTCTGTCAGTGTGAATAATGGGGCACTTTAATGATATTCCAGCAAGCACTTCCATCTGATGATGGACTTGAGTCTGAACAGGATATTCCAAAGTTTTAAGGTAAATGCTCTCTTCAGATGAAATGAGCAAGGGTTAAAACTACAATTAAATAAACTCCACCCTCACCAAGAAATGAATTTACATAAAGAAAAAGAATGAACCTTCTTACGGCTATAAGAGTCTGCTTTCTTACAGTCCTAATCTGAATAATTGAACAGTCAAGATGTCAGTTTCTTATCTGATAACTTTTTCCACTCGGTATTAAATATGGCTGACAGGTTTCAGAGTAACAGCTGTGTTAGTCTTTATTCGCAAAAAGAAAAGGAGTACTTGTGGCACCTTAGAGACTAACCAATTTATTTGAGCATAAGCTTTCGTGAGCTACAGCTCACTTCAGCTTATGCTCAAATAAATTGGTTAGTCTCTAAGGTGCCACAAGTACTCCTTTTCTTTTTGCAAATATGGCTGAGTGTCCCTAGCCTCTGTTTACCAGCAGCTGGGAGTGGATGACATGGGATGGATCACTTGATGATTCCGTCTGAAGCACCTGGCATTGGTCTGACCCAGTATGACTGTTCTTATGTAAGATAATTTAGGCTTGGCATTTTTCAAGGGCCTAAAAGCAGTTCTGCAGAAAAAGACCGGGGGATTACAGTGGATGAGAAGCTGGATATGAGTCAGCAGTGTGTCCTTGTTGCCAAGAAGGCCAACAGCATATTGGGCTGTATTAGTAGGAGCATTGCCAGCTGATCGAGGGAAGTGAATATTCCCCTCTGTTCGGCACTGGTGAGGCCACACCTGGAGTATTGCATCCAGTTTTGGTCCCGCCACGACAGAAGGGATGTGCTGGCTGCCCTTCCCGCAGCCCCCATTGGCCTGGAGCGGCGAACCGCAGCCAGTGGGAGCCAAGATCGGCCGAACCTGCGGATGCGGCAGGTAAACAACCGGTCCGGCCCACCAGGGGCTTTCCCTGAACAAGCTGCGGACCGGCTTTGAGAACCACTGGTCTAGACCATCCCTGACAGGTGTTTGTCCAACCTGTTCTTAAAAATTCCAAATGGTGAAGATTCCACAACCGCCCTAGGCAATTTATTCCAGTGCTTAACCACTCTGACAGTTAGGAAGCTTTTCCTAATGTCCAACCTAAACCACCCTGGCTGCAATATAAGCCCACTGCTTCTTGTCCTATCCTCAGAGGTTAAGAAGAACAGTTTTTCTCCCTCCTCCTTGTAACAGCCTTTTAACAACCTTTTATGTACTTGCAATAATCCATCTTCCATTACTGAAGAACTGGAAGAGGGATGCAGGATGTCAAAGTGCATTTCTCAAGGATATTAAAGCAGTATTGTCAACTCTCAAAATTTTCAAAAATCTCATGATATTTTTGATCTTCCTTAAAGCACCAGCTTCTGGAGTCGTGTCCTCAGCTTTAATTTATTTAAATAAATTTCAGTCCTTATGGTTGCAGAAAAACACTTGAGCTCAAAAGGCAAAAAACAAACAAACCCCAAAATCACGATTTAAAAAAAATGATGCATTTTGGGGGCTTGACTCATTATTCTTGAATGCTGGGGTTGGCAATCCTGCAGTAGTAATTGTTTTCTGACTTAAATTTAACTTAAAGGTGTGTTTTGTATTTAACAATTTAGGTGGCAAAGTCTTGCTGAAATTTACAGCTGAAGAAACCTGTAAATTAACAGATCTCCACCAGAGGCTGCTACATTGTTAATAATAATAGTGAAACCTGGCTAGGAAGAGCCAATTGATTTCAGTCCTATTTTAGTCTCTCACTCAATCCAGACAGAAAGCATTCCCTTTGTGCAGGGTAGGCTGACTTAAAAGAGTGTTTACACATCTCCCTTTGGCGTAGGCCTAACAAGGAAAGC